GTACCATCCAGCGTTTCCCCAGAATAGTACGAACCACCATCAAGGCTAAGCAGTGGTTGGCTATAAAACAGACTTTAGACATGATTGCTTTGTTTGTGCCAGCTGTAACTGTTGAATTTTAATACTCTTGTTGAAAACTTGTTGATGCTTTCGCTTTATTTCATTTAAATTGATGATGTTACCCGATTTAGGCCCATGTATATACTTGGGTACATCTCGGCGGAGAATCGACTTTATCTGAGCGACAAAGATCTGAACATAGTCAGCTATCTGCTCCTGCAGTCGGTTTTGAATTACCAGACAGCTGTATTAAGAAACGACTTCGACACTGCGGATAGTCTTCTGAATAGCATTCCAGACAGCCAACGAACGCGGATTGCTCAGTTCTTGGAAAAACAAGTATGTTTTCCAAATTCGTAAGATGTTGAGAGTGAAAGACTGAACAAGGGATCATGGAATAACAGGTCTTGATCCGATTATATACACAATAAATAAATAGATAATTGTATAATGTTAAGGAAACTAAACAGTTTATGATAACCCAGCGCATATAACGGTTTATCGGCAGCAGACCAATACTGAAATTTTCATACTTGACGTGCCTTCATCAAGGCAAGTTTTTTGCGTTGTAAGAGTGATTGTTTGCAGCAGGTGATCGCATTGGAGTCGATGGGAGAGTGTTTGATCCGTATTATTACTTTAACAGTTTTATTTCGACATCTGCTGTGAGGTTCATTCAAGCCGCGCGCAGTTCCTATCCGTTGTCGTTTTCCCATGCATTTGTCAATGCCATTTTTCACGTTGTGCAGCTAATGCTTCTCAACAATGCGGGAAGTATTTTTGGAAGGATCAAGCATCGGATCTTGATTATTTTGGGAAGGGAGCATATTTTTTAAATTATTTTGTTTTCATTTTCCGCTAATGCTTCTCCGCGTCTTCTTAGCTTCATAAACGGCTCATTGTTCTTTGACTGAACTTGTTCCTTATTTTTCGTATAATATTTCCTGCAGTTACATGGTAATTAATAAATCCTGCTAGAGAATCTTTGTTCTCATTCGTACATAATAACTGTATTATAGCTTTTGTTAGGTAAGTTAATGTATTTTATAATTTTCACTCGTTTTTATAACAAATGCGAATTCGTTACGGTACGCCCCTTGTAGTCGATGAAAGTAAAATAAAGTGACATTTGATATTCGTTGCGCTTTTCCGTCGTCTTCTGGGTGACCATGTGTTTGGTAAGTGGTAAAAAACGCTTAGAAAACCGGCTTTTTACCTACTTATCATTATTTCGATGCCCTTCTGAATACGGTTGAGAATCATGCTCGTGAAGACTTTAGTGTGTATGTTGCGCTAAACTTAAATATTTAAATCATGTGAAGTTTTAACAGCGATCCACATCCTTCGCTATTCAAACAAGCTTCTTGGACAGAATTCGACGGTGTAGCAATACCAGGTGCTGAATGTAAATAACCATCGATGGCTGTTGTGATCTGTTGACCAGAGATCGGAGCATCTCACATTGAAAGTATCTCAGGCTTTGTGTTCAGCAGTTTTCCGGAACAATCTCACAACATCAGCGGTCCTCCAAGGGAACTTGATATACTTACTTGTATTTAGAATCGCACTCTCATTCTTGATTCATCATTCTCGTTAATAAATTAGAACAAGTGGCGTAGGCAGGTTTCAACACAGTTTCTTAGTCCTGTTCAGTATTTTCGCGTAATTTGTAATAACTTCACGCAGTCGTTAAAATGTTTCTGCTTATTCAGATCAGTCTCGCGCTGCCAATTGCGTTTCCATTTCTGTTGTTTTAATTTTGTTGTATATCTTATTTTTATTTTAGGGGTACAAGAAACAAGCTCTATCTGTTTCTCAAGATCCAGAGCATCGATTTGAACTAGCCTTAAGCGTTGGCGATTTAAAGTTAGCTTATAGTTTGGCTGCAGAATCCGACGTATGAACTGTCTTTCTTATTGGCAATAATGTCTTATATACGGCGTAAACCCTCCTGTTTTAGTCAGAAGAAAAATGGCGCCAACTGAGCAAAGTAGCCACAACTAAGAACGACTTCGCATTGGCTGGGGAATGTATGAGTCGTGCGCGCGATTACGGGGCCTTGTTGATGTTGGCCACGTCTTGTGGTTCCAAGGCGCTAACCGAAAAGGTAGCCTCTGATGCTCTCACGGCCAAACAATACAACATCGCCTTTTTGGCAAATGTTTTATTAGGACGGTACTTTCTGTTTTTTCTTTATTTTAAAAGATTATGTATTGCTTTATGATTTTACGAAATTTATCCTTTTTAGCGTTGAAAAGTGTCTTCAAATCTTGATGGACACTGATCGTTTCCCAGAAGCTGCATTTTTCGCTCGTACCTACGTGCCTTCGCAAGTTTCAAGGTTGCCTTGTTTTTTGTGGCTTTTGGAAGAGTTTAGCTTTATTTTAGAGTCGTTGCTGGTTGGAAAGAAAGTCTCTCTGAAATCAATCCAAAACTGGCCAAAAGCTTAGCTGATCCAACGCAGTATGAAAATTTGTTCCCAAATCTCGAAGAAGATAAAAAAGTCGAAGCGCGCTTGAACGAATTGCGGGACCATTTTCTTCCTGCCTCTGCGTATGCAAACATGCCAGTAAGTCTGGTTATCCCTTCGTGTTCAGGAAATGTCTTCAGTGGTCTCCATGATTTCAGTGTTTCCTTTGTAATGTGTAATGATCGAGCCAGCAACATCATTCCTATCCCTTATCGTCCATCCACCGTTGCCTGAACGTATCTCCATAACTTTGCTACAGACTTTTGTTTACTGTCGTCGATCTAGAGGTCTTGCAGATCGTTTACAGTATCCTGGAACTAATTATAATGTCTGTCTGGTCCAGCGATGATCAGTTCTTATAACGTGTCCATGGGCAGTGGTGTAGCAGATTTATTTGTGCTCTTACCCATTTGTTTTTAAGTCTTTTTTGTTATTTTCGACATCATTCTATGCTTCATTGACTCGTCTGCAATTTCTGAATTGCTTTCATGCGTAGAGTGCACGTTTTGCATCCATAGGTTAACATTACTAGCACACACTGATAGAGTACTTTTTGTTTAAAGCAGAAAAGCAGTTTTCCAGATACGAAAGTTTTCAGCTTCCTACAAGTGTTCCAAGCCATTCTTTTTCGTTTGTTCATTTCACATAGTAGTTTCTCCGCTGTAGAGATGAGTTGTCCAGATAGACGTAGTTTTGCACTTATTCAAACCCAAGTTCCTTGAATTCATCAGGTCTTACGTGGACGCGTTTTTGCTGAATATAACCTGAGTCTTCTGAGTTCAATTTCAATCCCAGTATCATGCTGGCAGCTTTCAGCTATTAAATTCTTTTTTGGAATTCGTTTAGTGCCTTGAGACGATCAGAATGTCATTCGCAAACCCCAGGCGGCTTATTTAGTGCCCATTTGCGTTCAGCTTTTTTTCTTGGCAACTTCTCCTATGGCTTTTGTGAATAACTTGGTGATATTCTATCACTTGTCGAACGCATTGTTCAGCTATGAATTTGTTTGAGTTTTAGTGAAACATATCTGGTATAGACGCATTTTTGTGAATCATGGCGATTAGGTTTGTATCTTTTTCGATTCCCTGCTCTTCAAAAAATCTAATAAAGTATAGATGTAGACTGACTCGAAAGCATTTTCAAAATTGACCAACCTCAGACAGAAAGGAAGAACAAAGCTGATATTCGCTGCTTGTCTGAATTACTTGTTCTACCAGCTGGAAGACGATGATGTATAGTACTAAAACCACCTTTTAATCCTGCCTGGTACCTTGGTTGTACAACCCTGTTTTTCTTGTGTTTGTTAATACCATGATCAACATCTCGTGGGTGATTGATAGCAGACTGATTGCCTGTAGTTCCTATCTGTCTCCCTCTTGCGGTGCAGAATCACTAATGCAGTAGTTATCAACCGAAGTTATTCTAAATCTGCTCCTTTTCCCTTAAAAACCTCACTTGTAGCTTCTTGAGCCATGCGTGAATCCCTGCGGTTGTAATTAAGAGTAATTTTTTGAAATGGATTAAAATACGGAGTCTTGGCTTTATGCAAACGCTAAGTAAAATGAAATGCTCTTAGCCAGACTAAAATACTGTTATTTAGATCAGTCAGATTTAGTCAGACAGACATTATTAACCTTGATGTCCCAGATGACAGTGACAACAACTGTTATTTAATTATTTGACTAATTACCTCATTATTAGTGTATTCAGGAATTTTTCTTCTTTGATCATTGCGTAGTCATTGATCACCGGCTATTACCCAACAATAACAGGAAGTTCTTACGGTTGGAGGCATGTAGAATCCCATATTTCCATTTAGTCTAGGGAGTAAAATCATCTTTTCAGATCAGAAGCGAAGCCTCATGAAAAGATCTTGCCATTCATTCTTTTGGATTAAAGCATTCTCCAATCCGTCATTTCGAATTAGTATTCATAGTTTTTTCAGGCATATAAATTAGGTATATACATGGTTAATGTGCAAAGGAAATTTACCATTTCCTGCTTACTTCAAAAAGGCTTCTTTGTATGACTAGTAATCTTTTGATAATTACTGCAGCTTCTGTTAACATTTATCTTTTTACTGCTTTAGTCTGTTGCATAAATAAGGTGCTCTGTTGTAAATATCGTTGTTTCTCGTAGCCTCCAGGAGAGCGTTCCGTCTCCAACTTCACAGCATTCTATGAAAATAGTCTTAAAAAAGAGAAAACAACTGCTCGCTCTTTGAATAGCGTAGAAGATCATAACGTCTTCAACTCTGCGCCCATCGATGCAGAAGGCAACGCCAGTCTGTCGTTCTTACAAGAGAGTCTGGGATCGATTTCGTTGAAAAGCAGTGACGTAAACGTTTCCGCTCCCTCAGCGGACGAGGAGCGGTCGCTGCGATTTTCACAAGTTAGTTCTTTCTTGCATGTCATATTTTCTCTTTTTAATGCCATTATGCAGGAACCGGACATTGCCCTCACGTCTCACATGCAGCCGGATTTAGTTCCTTCCAGGGATGGCCCTGACGTCGTAGCGGAAGCAACGCTGTCGTCTGGCGGAGGCGGTTCAAAACCACCGGAAGTGGTACAAGACTCGCAGGAATTCGACGATGGCGACAGGTTTGAGGAAATTGATGGTGTGGACGATGACGAAGATGGAATGGAGTTTCTTTCCAAGATGTGATGCACAGCAGTTCTTCTTATACCTTTCATTAGCGCTAAGTTAAATCGTATTTTTACTTATGTTCTTGTTCCTATGCTTATGTTAATAAAAACGGTCATATTTATGGCAGTAACCTTTCCCTTTCAACAGCGACAAATGTGGCGCTAAGAAAATGCATAGCTCTCACTACTCGCTAATGAATGGTAATTTCTTAACTTTTCTCTTCTAATTTTATGAGAGCCAGATATAAGAAACGTTTGAGGTGTTTTTTCGTGCTCAGAGACTTCTAAAGGAATTTTACTACCCTTGATTGCGAGTCGCTCGAGTGATCAGAATTTCGACGACTTAGACATTTGAGAGGAACATCACACGAGATGTTATTCACACATGGTAGTAAAGAACTGAAACGTTATGACTTTTACTCTGTATCTAAAATTAAAAATAGGACGGGTACCGACTGCTCGAACTTTCGTGGTATACCACTGTGGACTCTTGAAAATTGACTGGAAAAACCGGAAGCAAGTCGATCATGGAAGCCTTCAACCAAACAAGGCTTTTTTGAACTTTACAGCTGATCTATTCCGGCTCTGGTTTTTCAAAAAGGCATAAAGCGATCCGTAACCCCACTTACCACTGCCTTGACTGATTGACGCTAGTTGTTGGTTTTATCCCTACTTTCAGGACGGCGAGGATCGATAATATTGGCTGTACTGAACGGGTTCAAGAGAAAGCAGCATAGCTTTTGGTTAAGAATAAAAGTGCCTGACCAGTTCATATCTGCTGAAAGGGCCTTACTTCGTACCGTCGATGAAATTCTGTCAAGCGAGAAACGGTTCCACCGAGGGATAATCAATGAGAAGTTTAAATGGCACGAAATAACAAGCTTATAACAGAGGACCGAGAGTTACACCTATATTTGAGTTTTCCATCATCATAAACAATCGCTGGCCTTGGGCGTATCGGCATGGTATGGAGTACAGAAATCCGCAAGAACCTCGGACTACAATTACTGTTTCTTCAGGTTGAGAAGTCAGCGGTGAGACCGTTCGGACACGTCTTGCGAATGCTTTCAGAAAAGAAGGCATCACGTACTGTTTGTTACATCAACCGGTCAGAGGCCCGGGAGAGAATCAAGAATCACCTGGGGAAGTGTATCGAAGGACTCTGCTCTAGTGTCCGGCTGTCTTTTGCCAAAGCTAAAGCGCTGGAAGCACCATGTGATATGCCTCTACTTAACCAACCGCAAGGAGAAGCGGACGTGGAATGTACAAGTGAATCGTTATGAACAAGCAGCATGCCACGCAGCTTAAAGTTACTGTAAGTCACTGAAGACATCAAAATAGTTTTTAATTATGCATATGAGATCAATGCTCGTCAAAAAACGGATATCGATGAAATTCGGCCAGATAACAAAACCGGAAATGATCCAAGTGAATCATCATTTTCCTTGACCGGTTCTCTTTTCGGGTCGCGGAGGCAGATATGTCAGACTGCCTCCAACGTTCCCGATTCGATGCCAGAGCCTGAGCTTCGGCAAAACAGCTGGAGTTTGGAACAGACTCCTTCCATATATTTGCACTAGGTTAATCTTGGCCGTTCCCCTTGGCCCTCTGCCGGTCGGTTGGACAAGAAACAGTTGCTCCGCTTTCCTTTCTGGAAGCATTCGCAACACATGCCCAAATCACAGCTGTGACTTCTGTCTGAAGAAGCGACTGCTGTACGTCACGGCTCTCGCGGATGTCTGAATTCCGGACCAAATCGAGACGCGAAACGCCAGCCAATCTCCTAACGCCCATTTCAGCCGCTTGTAGCCGGGGTTCGAAGGTTGGAATCCTTCTCCAGTTTGTATCGGTCCTATTCGATACATATGCTACCGCTTTAGGGTTACAAAGACTATATGGCAGAACTATATGTTGGCGTAGAGGTGCGTAACAATCAAAAATGAGCCAATTTCGATTCTTAATCACGATAGAGACACTGTAGGTACTGAATGACTTGACACCATAAGCTAATCGGATAGCCCCTTACGCACCTACGGCAAGCGCTGTACGATGACCTGTGAAACCACAGTAACTCTAGTAACACTAAAATATGACATTCACTACATTTCGTCTTACCTTCTGATCCTGAACTTTGCATTAGGGTTGTTTGACCTCCTTGTAGAATACCTCCAGGGTGATCATAGGCGCTTTAGATGCAAAAGGTTTCGGGCAGCGCAATTCAGTCAAAACGACAGCGTCTAACCAATATTTAATGTCACGATAACCTGAAATTAATATAAAATACATTGAGCTGATTTTAAATTTAGAGAAATTAAACGTTTGTTCTCAAAAATTATCCATCTTTTCATAGAAGAAATTAAACCCAAATATTTGCACCTCACAAAATATTTGAATGCACTGTCTTTGTCAACGCCATCCATAATAAGAAAACAGGAGTCAAATAAAAATTTTACTTTCAGCAGTTGGTTTTTACAAAAGCCATTTCTAAGTTTCTTCACTTCGAAACAACGTCAGTTAGTTATAATAAAAATAAATGCAATTTAATTCTGACAAACTTCAGTAGAACTGTTTTTACGTTAAACAAGTTTTATCCGAGGAAGCAGGCTCGAAAATATCCTGGGTAAAAAAAAACAAAATCTAACAAGCAAAATTTTCAACGACAAAACTAATACAAAATAAGATCAACGCTTAGCAAATCATTTTAGAAAGCTGGCTACGTCGAGCACTGGCTTCACTGAACGCTTTCAGGCACGGCCTCTGCTGTTTGAGTTTCATCTTCTGACGCCACAGCTTCCTGACTCTCTTCCTGCTGCTTAAGCTTCTCCGCTTCTTCTTCTTCCGGATCCGGAGTTTCGTAGCCGATGCCAGGGAGCGCATTTCGCTTTGGATTGTGAAGAAATGTTCGAATACCATCGCCATACGGAAGTTTCTAAGAAACTTTTTAAAAGATTTTAAAGAAAAGATTTTAAATGGAAACATATAAAGGTTATTTTTTAAAATTGGATTTAGCGGCGTATCAACTGTAGTGGAGCAGAGGGAGAAACGATGAGCTAACGGAGAATAAACTTTCTCACGTCCTATCGTCTTGCAACAGTTTCGTTTTGATTCAACTGCCTCCAAGTCAGTCTGACGTTTTCGAACAAACTGACTGATAGTAGACCGGTGTTTGGGGTCAGAATGCAGTCTTGCGACCAGAAATCATAATTGATACTACTTATCTGTATCGGCTATCTGCGAAAAGCTCTGTGAGTACTTCAAGGATTACTAATGGATTCTGTTTGATTTCATGATTTCGTCGTAGTGACTACAAGAAATCAACTCCGCCATGGCCGGTCCCAAGCCCGGATGAAAAAGGAGGAGGGTTGGAGACCGTGGCAAGTCTCC